AATGTTGGAGAGGTTGGGGAGAAAGGGGAACCCTCTTACACTGTTGGTGGGAATGCAAGTTGGTACAGCCACTTTGGAAAACAGTGTGGAGGTGCCTCAAAAAATTAAAAATAGAGCTACCCTATGACCCAGCAATTGCACTCCTAGGTATTTACCCCAAAGACACAGATATAGTGAAAAGAAGGGCCATACGCACCCCTATGTTCATAGCAGCAGTGTCTGCAATTGCCAAACCGTGGAAAGAGCCAAGATGCCCTTCAACAGACGAATGGATAAAGATGTGGTCCATATATACAATGCAATATTACTCAGCCATCAGAAAGGATGAATACCCAACTTTTATATCAAAATGGATGGGACTGGAAGAGATTATGCTAAGTGAAATAAGTCAAGCAGAGAAAGTAAATTATCATATGGTTTCACTTATTTGTGGAACATAAGGAATAGCATGGAGGACATTAGGAGAAGGAAGGGAAAAATGAAGGGGGAGAAATCAGAGGGAGAGATGAACCATGAGACACTATGGACTCTGAGAAACAAACTGAAGGTTGGGGTGGGGGACTGGGTTAGCCCGGTGATGGGTATTAAGGAGGGCACGAGGACACGTACTGCATGGAGCACCGGGTGTTATTTGAAAACAATGAATCGTGGATCACTACATCAAAAACTAATGATGTATCGTATGGTGACCAATATAATAAAATAAAATTTAAAAAATAAAAAGACCGAAATAACAGCTGTACACAAGGATGTAAAGGAATCAGAACCTTTGTGCACTATTGGTGAAAATGTAAAATCATACAAAACCCTATCGAAAACAGTATGGGAAGTCCTCAAAAAGTCAAAAATACAGTACAATTATCACATGATCCAGCAATTCCACTTCTGTGTATATAGCCAAAAGAACTGAAAGCAGCGTCTCAAAGAAATACTTGTACTCCAATGTTCAGAGCAGCATTAATCACAATAGCTAAAGCATGGAAGAAACCCAAGTGTCCACTGATGGGTGAACTGGCAAGCAAAATGTGGAACATCCAAAAAATGGAATATTATTCAGCTAAAAGGGAAATTCTGACATATGCTACAACGTGGACAAATCTTGAAGACATTATGCTAAGTGAAATAGGCCAGGTAGAAAAATACAAGTTATACTGATTTCACTTACATGAAGTACTCAGAGTATTCAAAGTTAGAGAGACAAGAAAGTAAAATTGTAGCTGCCAAGGGGTTTGGAAGTGTGTTGGGGGGGGGGTAGAATGGGTGGGTTATTATTTAATGGGTATAAAGTTTCAATTTCATAAGAAAAAAAGATATGAAGACGGATGGTAGTATTGGTTGTACATTATAAATGTACTTAATACCACTGAAGTGTACAGTTGTACACTTAAAAATGGTTAAGATGCAGGGGCGCCTGGGTGGCTCAGTTGGTTAAGCGCCTGCCTTCGGCTCAGGTCATAATCCCAGAGTCCCGAAATCGAGCCCCGCATCAGGCTCCCTGCTCAGTGAGGAGTCTGCTTCTCCCTCTTATCCTGCTCATGCTCACTCACTCTCTCTCAAGTAAATAAAATTTAAAAAAATGGTTAAGATGGTAAACTTTGTTATATGTATGCCACAATAAAAAAAATATTAAAGAAAAACATGATTGGGTATAGTGGTGAACAACTACACAGGATATGAATGAACTGAGAGAAGAAAACACAATTATAAGAAGTGTCACCAGAATTGTGTTAAATCTCCTTTACTATTTTTACCTCTTTGCCAAAAGGTGAAATGTTTATTATTGGATTTCACTTTTTTAGTGAAAAAATAAATGCATGGCAAGGTTGGTGATATACATATATTTTTAAGATGGTCAGCTATTAGACAAAGGACAGAGGAACAGAAGGTAAGCAGGTAACTAGGTTAGGAAGATCATTTTGTGTTTGAAGATAAGACAGGCTACAGTATTTTTACATACTAAAGAGAAAGCTTCACTAGAGAACAGAGTACAAAAAGTACCTGGTGATAGTGACCAATGCACAAGGAAGGAAGCAGATTTCTGCAGAACAGTTCTTCCACTGAGAAAAGTAAAGTGTTGAAATAATGGACTATTTGGTCTAGGCTGAATAGGAAAGGATATGAACCCACAGAGTGAACAAACAGATTTGGGAAAACAAAAATATATCAAGGGACTAAGTACGCCCAAAAGATTAAGAATTGATACAATGGGATTTTTTTTAAAAGCTAGAAAACAAAATATACTTAATGAAATTAATTTATTATAGTTAAAAACTAACCTTACCCTTAATAAGCTAGATATATTATTTGTCATAAGGTAAGTTTCCATAAAAGTTTTGTAAACATGATAAAATACACAAACCACATTAAAATTCCCCATAAGACTCCCTCATATTTGTTAAATAATTTCAATGCCTCCAGAGAAAAATAATACTCAAATGTGATATTTAAGTCTTTTCTCCTTTCCTTATTATCATTCTTATTTACTGTTTCCTTTACCTTGATCAGCTACTTTTTGTTTTGCTTCTTCTATTCGTTTAAGTTCATGTTGTTTTGCTTCCAAGAGTTGTTTTTCTTCTTTTAAAGGATCATATTTTATTTCTACAGGAAGCATGAAAAAGAATATGTAATTACCTTAACTTTAAGTGTAATCACTCTAAAATATATCCTTGAAAATAATCACTAATTCAAAGTCTGCAATAATTCAGAGTAAAAACCAATTTAATGTGAATTTCCAGATGCTAAATATAAAAGTATCTCAAAAAATTCACCAAAAGTATTTTGAATTATCAAATATTAATATTTTTTCCACCCACAAATAAAAGTACTTTAAGTTATAATGTTTAAAATTTGACTTACTAGAAGAAGGCACTATGAGTAAATAAATGTCTCCCAGGACAGCTTCAACTGGTTGAGTATACAGGTTTTTCCACGGAATTATAAGATTAAGATTACCTATATGATTTTTAAAAAAAGGACAAAAAATAATAATATTCATTCAACCATTTACTGCCAGCCTATTTTCTGTTAGACATTAGAAGAAATAAAGTGACAAGCTGAGTCATTTTACAGAAAGCTATTTAACAACAACAAACAACAAGCCTTTGTTGAGATGATTTGAAATTATGTCTATTAGTACTGTTGGAAAATCTACTAAATGATATTCTAAAAATTTACCAGTTTCTCTTTATGGCAATCTGCACCACAAACATTAGTATTCTTCTGCAATTAACCAACAACCCTTGACATTATAACCCTGATTTCCCCAATTCTTGCTTCAAATCACTATTTTTATTACACTTTCAAAAGGCAGACTATAAAATTGAAGAATGTATTTTTCATATATACAGGCTATATATACATATACATAATTGTGTATGTATTCGCAGATTTCTATGGTAATAAAGATCGTGGACAAGATTAGAAAATCATTCAAACTAATGAAAATGTTTTACTACAATCTATTAGGAAAGTATTTTTTAAAGCATTAGATTTCTTGAACTAAAAAACATGATGTAAGGTGTTCATTATACTGATTCTATTCTTGTGAATTTAGAAAATTTCCATAATAGAGGTGAGGAGGAGAGGATGAAAAAAAGCAAATTTCCATAATAGTTTTAAAATACTTTAAAATTTTTTAGAAAGCACGAGTCAATTCATTTAGAAATAGTTGCCATAATTGGCAAGGGAGCGATTAACAACACAATGGCTACATTAACTAATTAGTAACTGGGGAAGGGAAAAAAAAATTAACATAGATATATCTCATTACATAACCTCAAAATTCCGTATTTAAAAAAATCCAAATTGAGAAAAAGATTTCATCTCACAGTCAATACAGAGAAAAAGAACCAAACTATGATTTCTAAAAGACAGATGACTTTCTAAGTTTAAAAATCAGAGAGAATGACCATTTCAAGTTTGTGTATGGTCCAAAATATAACCAGAATGAACACATTAGAAAAAATAATTGTGACAAATCTGATACAATTTATAAATGTATCAGGTAGACTGCTTACACACATACACATATATTAGGTTGCTGTAGTGGAGTGGGGTGGGAGGG